TTGTTAGTTATTTTACTGTTGATTTTTTTTATTCGTTAATTTTAAAAATACGCTATATTTATAAAATTTATTTTTTAGTTTTTCAAAATGAACGTTAATAAAAAATTCGCTAATTTCAATAATAAAAACACTCATTGTTTTTTATATGTTATTTATTTTTCTTTGTCTTCTATTTTTAGATTTGACTTTAAAAATATAAAATTTAACAATACCTAATGTCCAGATTATTTAAATGTTTATAAAATTGGCTTTACCAAAAATAATTTTTTTTGCCGCAAAAAACAATCTTTTTAGTCTTATTTTTTCAAAAAGCAAATTTTCCCGAAGCATGCTATATATTGTAAATTAAAATGATTATTTTATTTTGGGAAACAGTCTTTTTATCGTTTTTGAAGTTTTTCTGTTCCAAAAATAATAATAAAATAATAAAATTAATAAATTATAATTAATAATATTAACAATTATACTATTATTGTTTACACAAAAATATTTTAATATCGAATGTAATTATAAACCATAATATTTAATTTTATATTTAATATATTTACTATATATTTGATGATTATTTAAAAGGAAATTGTCATTATTTTAGTATTTATTTTTGTTATTGTTGTTTAATGGTTACATAAAAATAAACAATATTTGATAAAAAGATATAAAAAATAATTTTAAACTAAAACATATATTAACTTTGCTTTTAATCATAAAAATGGTGAAATTTTCAAATATTTCTCAAATTTTTTTGTTGGAACCTCTTTTGAAGAAAAAAATCTGTTTTTATGGGAGAGAGTTAACACTAGCTCCCTGTTTTTTTAAAACAAAAATTCGGCAAAATATGGAAACGCCTGATTGTGGCCCATACACTTATCAAACAATTTGACACTAAAAGTTTTCCAGAAGTCACTATCAAACAAGTTGTTACATTGACTTACTCAAAATTGGCACCAATAGAATCACAATTGAGTGTTCTCAAAGTGTTTGGAATTGATAAAGCACTGATTGGAAACCCCCTTTCTCTCACTGTCACTGATTTGACTTTTGAAACGTTGTAATCAACAAATTCAATCATCAATGTGAATAAATTCAACTTAGAAGGTCTTAATATCAAATTTTCATCAAAAACCACAACTACACACATTCCACTCATTAACATGTTACTGCCAATGAGTGGTGCGTCTCTTCCTATAGACACCGCACTTGTATGTAATTTCAAAACATTGATTAACAAATCAACATCGACATCTGTTTTTCAATGCCAAATGATGTACTCTGCACATACTGACACGGAAAATTGCCATAGAAAAGACACCAGTACAGAGTATAAACAGAGATATAACATTGAAATTTCAACCGCTGTGAATAGTGTGGTTATATATGAAAACAATGCAGAAAAGACAAAGGATTATGATATTGTTAATGTGAAACAGGACTGTGTGACAATTCAAATAATGAAAGGTGGCATTTATACGTTGAACATACACATGAGTGGAGAAAGGGTGATGTGTATTGGTGATGATGCAGATAGTAAAAAGTGTAAAATTGTAATCAATAATTATGTTGATACAAATCGAATCAATTTACTTGGAAAGAACATCATTTTGGAGAAAGACCTCAATATTGATAATGTAATTTCCTTTGTCAAAATAACGGGAGACGTCTCTTTGAGTACATTTTAAGCAACACAAATGTATATTGAAATGGTTGAGAAGGGCATCTTAGAAGTGGAATAATATGCATCTTTTGGATCACTTTTGCTTGTAAAAAAACACATATTTATGCATTTGAATCGTTCGATACTTCACTCTTACAATACCTGGGTTTGAAATTGTATTTGATGCTTCAGACAACCAGGTTGTTTTGAACGTAAACAGGTTTGAAGTGAACACCACATTTGTACAATCGGCAAAGGATCCGTGCATCACTCCGATTATCAGAAAGGCATTCACAAATGGTGAACCTATGAACATAGACATTGTTCCAGAACTTGTGTGGAAAGGTTCTGTAACATTCACAGAACAGGGATAATTGTGTATTACGACTGTGGGGGTTCAAAACTCGAACACGTCAAGCACTCTGTAGCAGTTTGGCTGTGATATGTCTTCCAGGTTGATTGCACCAAAGGTGTGTTGTATCCGCTGCACAAACTCTATCATCGCACCAGCATCAGCCTTCCCAGCAACCTTCGAGTCAATGCAGATGGCAACTGCGTCAATACCACCCAAGTACTTCATCAGCAACGCCTTCCCTTCCATCACACCAAACTACCAGCAGGTGTCACATCTCCATCACCAAGCACTCGTATCGAGTCCGAGACAACACCAACAAAGTTGCCACGCATCGTACACAACAATGATGAGTCGTTGTCGTCACGGATGTTTGTTGAAATGCGAGATACGCCGGGAGTGTAGTACGCATTGAACCAGTTAAATCCGCACAGTGTGCACTTCGGCATGATCTGGATCTTCCTGCGATAGAATTTGTGCGCCTTCTCAACAAGTGTCTTGTAAAACTCAGTCTGTGTATTGAGTAACTGTACTAATACTTGTAGAGAGGCATTTCACAAGTGATACGCCTCTTTAAGTGTCGGGTTTTACGAAATGTTGTACTTTTATTGTGACA